GATGCAAACGCACCAGCAGCTGGATTCTTTGTTTAAGTCGCCCAACATAAAACCCAGATCTGAAAATAAAAGGCCTCTTTGTGTTGCTGCTGGCCATGTTCCCAGTAGGCTCAGCCATGTGGTCTAAGATTTACATGAATCTTTATTTCAAACTTTTGTCCCAGTCAGCATTTTCTACAGAAAAAAAATAAATCAGAAGGACACTTTGATTCAGAGTCGACACAAGTCTGTGTCAGGAAATCTGTTCCTTTCTTCTATATTTAAAAGGTTTAAAAAGGAAAAGCAGGTCAGTAAACTGTCTGTGTGTAGTATTCCACAATATGGCTTCAGATTAAATAAATCCATAATCTGTCGTCACTTATCTCAAGCTCTGCAACTAATGTAATAACCCCAGTAGGCTAAGTAGCATAAGAGGCCAATGAATGTACAGTCAGCTCTTTGTGTGCGGTCGATTTCAGACACACTTCAGGTTTCTACTCATGCAATGAATCAGATATAAAACAATGACTCTATAAAAGCTGCAAAGAGGTTCCACCATTTAAAACGCGTCCAGGAAATTCAGAAAATGCATCAAAAACCAAAAGAGAGGCAGCAAAACTAAATTCCTGCTGACTAGAGAAACCAAAGGCTCTAAACGTGGAGTTTAAACCAGCTGCTTTTGATTTAACCTGATCAAATATCTGTTTAAATACACTGCAGTCCAAAAAATTTATTTATCAGGGAAATTAGATGTTACAAGACAAGGCACCTAAGACTTAGCCGTTGATCCTTGCTAAGTCTTCACAGTTACAAATTCAGAGGTGAAACATAATAAATGACGGCATATTGGGGCCACTTTAGATAGGAAAAAAAGCCTAAATTGTCCCATTAGTGAAGTAAAAACTTTAAAAAAGCTTCTATGAAAACTGAGAAATATGCTAAAGAGTTTACTATGTGTCTCCTTCTGAATTTAAATCCAACTCCGACTGTTTCATTGTTTTTTTTCTAGCAGATTATTTCAAAATAGCAAATAATCGGCACGATTAATCAGCCAACCAATGAATGTGGCACTAATCTGGAGGTTATCTACTGAGAAATGCATTTATAATTAAACTTTGGGTTAAATATTGATTTCATAATATGAAAAGCTACAGAGCTGAAGGACTTGCTTCCTGTTCGGATGTGAAATGAAAAACTAAAAGCTGATTTTCAACAGACGGAGCTGCGTTCCAGGAGCAGGAGAAGCTGTCAGCAGCCGTTAGCCTAACACGACGCGTTTCTGGAGCCAAACTGTCTGCTGCAGCTCTCTGCGACGTCCAGCAGCCGCCGATTGTCAACTGGAGACAAAACCTCTGGCATTCACCGGCCACAGAAGCAGCTGAACGGATTCGGGTCGAGTGGATCCAGGAAGACAAAAACCTTGTGGGAGCCAGTCAACATGGCGGGGAGAGCGGCTCTCCTCTCTGTCTGCACAAGTTTAAAGAGTAATAAATAACTTCATTTTCAAATAATGTCAGGTCCTTTCTCCTCTAGAACTTCTCAGTGTTTTGAGATTTACTAGCAGAGTAAACCAAAACCAGCCAAACATTTTCCTTTCATGCATATCTGTTATTTTTATTAAATCACAACATTTTAGAGTAAAAATCCTGCAAATTTCAGTAAAAATAGTTATGATGATAACTATTTAAAATAAAATAATATTAAAAATATTATTTTAGTAATATTACTAAAATAATATTACATATTATTTTAGTAATAATATGTTGGTGCTTCAGTTTTTAGATGCAAAACATGCAGCAGCAGACAAAATAAGTATTGAACATATCGTCATTTTTAGAGTAAACATATTTCTAAAGGTTTTATTGACGTGAAGTTGTTGGTAAAAACCCAAGAAAGAAACCAAATCAGTTCAATAATTTTCCTGGTGTCATTTTCACAGAATTTAACCCTTTGAAACCTGATAACATGAAACAATTATCAGAAGATTCATTTGTTTCTTTTAAATACATTTACTCAATGCAGCAAATGGTTGAGGAAAATATTTTATGACAGATATAATTGTATCAAAAATGATACATTTGGCACTAAAGAGTTAATTTCTGAATGCATTTGTATGGATTACTTGGGTTTTTACCAACATTTCGTGAAAATTTCATGTCAATATAACTTTTAAAAATAAGTTAACTATGAAAACTTGTGAAGCGTTCAGTACTTAGTTTCCGTGCTGCGTTCGCTGACGTTAAAACGGATGTACAGTGTTTTTTCTGTTGTTCCAGGCTGACACAGTTTCTGGGTCTTAATGAAATGCCTGTTCTGTGGCACATTTTGCTTGAAATACAACAGGATTACAGCGCAGCACCTCCCTGCTAAGCCTGTTCTCCTGCCGCCATATTAAAACAATCAGCTCCTCTTTACAGCCTACATTCAGATTAATGTTTATTAATAGTAAAAATTAAAAACTAATAATCTCTACAGTGTAAATCTGGACAGTTACTCTCAACAGCCAGATCTCGACAGGCTGCTCCGACTGCACAGACTGAAAAGCTTTTTATTAAACTCAATGCATCGCTGATAGAAACACTAAAGCATCATTAATACACCAAAGTTGTTTTTTTTATATATATTTTTAGAGCATTTCTCCTCAATATTTAGAGACAGACACAGAGAAAAAGGTCTGAAAGTACAAACACGCTCCATTTCCAGACTATCTTTTTACAGAATCAGTAAAAGCTCAGGTCCAATTTCTGACCGACAGGCCGATATGAACAGAACCATTAAGTTTCAAAACGCTGCTCCCGTTTACAACAATGCTTTTAAAAACAGGAGTTTCTGAAGATACAATTATAAGAAATATTCAGCTGAAACAACTGGATATTTGTTTCAGCTGAAACAAATATTTAAACAATGCTAGTTTGAACAAAACTAGCATTGTTTAAGTTATTAGAAAATCTGACCTGATTTTCTTAATTTTTGGAGATCGGTTGATACTTGTAAAGCCGATCAGCAAAGGTTTTTTTTTTTTTTTTTTAAATCAACCACCATCCTCTATTTCTCTGCTGAGAGAGAAGTTTGACTGACAGATCAGAATGAGAATTAATTTTATTGTCATTGTGCACAAAAGAAAGCACAAAGAAATTTAAACATGAAAGTAAATCAAATAATTAATAAAATAATAATAAATTAGTGAATATTAAAATATAGTAGAAACACACAAACAAGCGGGATGTTAAGGAATAAATAAACAGAAGTTTATTTATTTATGATATGAGGTCATGTCTGCACATCTGCAGTTAACTTGAGTCACCCTGCTGCTGATACAGCAACTTTCTTTATTTAGCACAACTTCAGATGAAACAAGTCTGTATCATTCAAGTTAGAATCGGCAGGTCAGGTTTTTTAAAGATTGATAATCAACCAGAAAACTGCAAAGGCTGTTCATAGTTCATAAAGTGATTTACAGTTTCTATTTTCCCTCTGTTTGAGAATTAAAGAGGAATGCCTAGAAATGCTTCAGAAGTCACAGAAAGTTAAATTTTGCTGTTTGATAATCTTTTAAGAACAAGCTTGGCTTTACATTTGCATTTCCTCATTCTCATATGTTTGCGCATTATTTCTACTTATTTCAGGTCAGGATTAAATAAATTTGAACATTCCTGGTGACTTTACTCAGCCTTGTTACTATTCTGGTCATTTCCAAAAGAACATGTAGTTCCAGCTGAGTCCAGCCCTCTGAAGGGATTTCAGATGTTTGCCCCTGACTACAGGAGAAGCACAGCAGACCTCCCTGTTCACTCCACCTCCCTCGGCCTCTTGCATAAACCCTGCTCCATTAGCTGGTTTAATTACCGTAGAGTTTGTTTGAGGCTACTGGGGCAAGAATTTCTGGGGTAGGATGTGAATGTGCTTACAGTAGCTGCAGAACTTTGTGCAGCAGATTTTAGAGGAAACAGAGAGCTTTCTAAAACCATCTGAAATCAGAGCTGGACCCTGCTGCAGAAAACAGGAGTAAATCCCCGCAGATAGGATGCAGAAAATCAACATCATCATTCAAAACTTCTCCTCTTGTTCACTGATTGGCCCAGTATAAAATCTAACATAGGTATCCAAGTCAATGAGAGAAACCCCAGACTGATAGTCTGCGCCTTATTGGTTTAAGAAAAGTTTTCATCCACACCAACCTGCTGAATGACACTACTGAGCTTTGTTTCAAACATGCCAGACCTACAGGAGTAAGCTAAGCGCTAAGCTAAAACCTGTCCCCCAATCACAATGCTTCAAAACAACTACGACTTCCTGTTAGGAATTAAACATGGCGCCAGGAGATTCATTTGTGTGAACAGACAGTGAGGCTGAACTACTTTTAAATACTGTGTGAGATTATAATAAGATACAAATCAATGTCAACTGGGAATCATGTTAAAGAAAGTATGTTGAAATTGAACGCCATTGTGCTTCCATATTGGGGAGGGATCGCTGGTGTAAAACAGTTGACCTCAAACGCTCTTTCTCCTTTGCAACTCAACATATTTAGTTGGGCTTCTAATAAAACAAGTAAAACGCATCTGAGCAAACGTTAAGATCTGCACCCCTTCGTACAGAGGGTCTGGACTCTAAGCTGTTGAGAAACTGTTGACTGTGGTGGTTTTAAATCCCGTGGCCTATGTAAATGCGCTAGTTCGTAGCAATGAAGCTTACCGGAAGTTGACAACCATTTTACACTGATAGAGAAGGACCAAACCGAATGAGGCAGCTGTTAATATTAATTCAATATTTTAAAGTCTGGCCAACACAGCTTCGTTTACGTTCTCCGCTGCCATTGCTTAAACTACATTTTTAAAACAGCAGAAAATCAACATCATTGTTCCGAACTTCTTCTGTTCGCTGATTGGCCCGGTCAAAAATTCGACCAGAATTGGACAATTGGAGTCAAGGCGAGAAGGCTCAGACTGTTCTGGAAGCGGGAATTTTGTTTTGAGCGGAGTTGCGCCGGAAGGCAACGACCAGGCGAAAAGCAACCTTACCCAGGTAGAGCGACGCGTTCTCCTTCTTCACGTTGTCGTCCAGGTACGTGGGACCCAGCGTGTAGATGGGCGTGGACCCCATCCCCACCAGGATCTGCGCGATGACGAACAGCGCTACATACAGGCGGTGCTCGTTTCCGTCCTGGTCCCTGGGACAGGAAGTGATGTCAACCCGGTCCCTGCCGCTGGCGTTGCTGTTCATGCACAGCCCCTCGTTGGCCGAGGAAGAGTTCAGCTCCTGGATCTGGTAGGCTGGGGAGATGAAATGAGGTAAGGAGAAGAGAGCGGCGCCCACGGCGATGAAGATCCCGCCAACCGCCAACCAGCGTGGCCTTTGACCCCGACCGCCAAAGTAGCTGATGAAGACCACAACCACGAGGCTCCCAATGTCGAAGCAGCTGACCAGGAGGCCCGACTCGGAGCTGCGGAGGCTGTAGCGCTTCTCGATGGTGGTGATGACGCTGCTGAGGTAGCCGGACACCATGAGCGACTGGATGAAGGTCAGGTAGCACATGCAGAACAGGAAGCAGCGCGAGTCCTGCAGGATGAGGCGCAGGTACTTCCTGCTCAGCAGGCGGATCTGAGCCAGTCTGGACTTACTCCTCCGGACCTCCGGGTTGTCCAGGTAGGAGCTCGGCCTGTTCAGAGCCGACTTCCCGGGCTTTGGCAGGTAGGTGCTTCTGGTCGGGGACTCGGCCTGGAAGGACTCGGTCCGGGCCGGCAGCTGGATGAACTCGGAGCTCTCCTCGGCTGCTATGGACATCCGGGTCGAGCTGTCCAGTAAGGTTTTCTCCTGGGGAGCTGCTTCGTTTAAGACAGGCAGACTTTTGGATTTGAGGTTGGCGGCCGGTTCCTCATCCTCCTTCCTGAGAGACTCCGCTTCCTCGTGTTCGGCCATCGCTTCTACAACCCAAAAACTCACAGTCCGAGACCACAGCTGCCCGTCATGTTCAGAAGAGGAAGCTTGCAGCTTATCTGCAGTGCAGTCGCACCAGCCAGGGGTGGCTTTTGTTTATCTGCTCATGCAGACTTGCCTTGTGTCTGGCTGGATCTGATCCGGAGGTGGAGACCACTCAGGCCTCCCTACTTCCACCCCCAACCTTCCCTGAGCCTCAGCGGGGTCTCTGTTCCGATCAGGTCCCGGCCAGCATCCCTGGCGCTCCGGCTCCGTCACAATGTCACCTCCATCAGCCCCGTCCAAGTCCTCCGAGTCAAGGGCAACCCTGCAGAGGCGGTCACTCGCGGCGCATCATTCTGGGGTCTTCCCGCGGTCCTCCGCAGACGGAGGGATGAGACGCTGTGGGCGGCTGGAAGAGGAGGAGAGGGTCGGTGTGAGGGAACCAGAGAGGACGGAGCAGGACTGCAGCGATCCGCAGTGCTCCGCTCAGCTGCTCTGTTTTCAAAAACAAGTCAGGCAAGTTAAAGCTCCGACACCCGGAAGCAGAGCATCAGCCCTTCGAAATAAAAGCAGAAAACTTTGGACGAGGTCCTCTCAGCTTTCTTTTATACTGATCTTTTTCTTCCATCTGACTTCAGTTCAATTAAAACAAAATATATTTATCCCCACAGGGACCGTAATGCATGCATAATAAATAGAAGGTAAATAGAAGGTTTTCTTCATCCCTTCTTTTCCTCTTTTTTATCTTAAATGGTTTTTACTTTCTTCCTTCTATGCTACTTCCTACAATTAATTCATTATATATACGTGTGTGTGTGTGTCAGCTGAACATATATTGGTACTTTTTAAAAAAAAATAAATATATTTATTGATAATGTTTTTTATAAGTAAAGCAGAGTTTATAATGGGAGAAATTACTGTGTACCTTTTATAAAAAGAAATAAATGAATCAAGCTGAAAGTACAATGGGATACCTGTTAAATACATATAGAAACGCATTTATTTTATAAATAATAAATGAGCAAATTAATTAATTAAGCACAATCTGTTATGGGAAAATATTTTGTACATTTTAAAATAAATGCATTTATTTATTGATATATAAGTAAATAAATGAAGCACGTGTATATGAGAAATAATATTTTGTAACCTCAAAAATCTAGAATGAATTAATCAGGCATTTTATTTTGCAAGTTAATCCACAGCGAGCTTTCAGCCGTCAAAACATCGAGTCCTGCGGCCCTAAAGCCTTTAAAGCGACAGGATGTAATTTAGATCTTTATCTAAAATTTAAATAATAATCCACCAAAATATATATTGGTGAAATTATAAAAACAAGAATCGTTCAAATAAAAAATGTCTCCTTTTAAATACTTCTATTGAAGGTTATCAAGTTCCTGTAGGATGAAGGAGAAACAAACAAAAAAACCGAATATTTTATTTCAAAATAAAAGCATGTTGACTATTAACCCTGCAGTTTATTTTTCCCATTCAAACCATACCTTAAACAAATCATGGCGTATTATTACAAAATACTTCAATCACAAAAAAGTAGTAAATTTTGCCAAATCTAAAAAAAATTCCTATGCTATATGACATATAGCATAAGTCATATTTATGCTATTTATGTTTAATAGCATAAATATGACTATTAAATAAAAAGAAAAAAGTATGTAAATAATGTGATAAATCATAAAGAAAAACTATGTTTTCAGTTTGTAAAGTAAAACACATCTTTCACACTCTCATATGGTGTATGTTTGTTTTCTGCAATACAGATTAAAATTTTAATTTACACCTGAAGAAGCACAAATCCAAACTGATCCCACCCTACTGCAAACATAAAGTAAATTAATAAAAACTGAATTTATTTATTTATAAACATACAATTTTTTGCAGTTAAAAGGTTGCAAAGAAGATTTAAAAATGCAATTTCATGTAAAACTATAAATAAAAGTGACCAAAACATAAAAATAAAAAATGTGTTTTATCAATATGTGGAAAAGAAAGTTTTGTTTCTGCTCAGAGGAAATGAGCAAATGTTACACAAAGATTATAAACACATCTTACAACAAGCAAAGACAAGACAGTGACCTCTAGTGGCCAGTAGTGTGAANTACTTAGTAAGATTTTGTGTTTTTACAGTGCAGTTAATTAGTGCTATTCACCAAATTTCTTGTCTAATACTAAAAAGATTGATATCAGCTTTCCATATGTTTCTAAATCACATTTTCTAACATCATTTGACTGCAGTCTGTTAGGTGAAACAGAAAAGCTGCATCAGAGTAGCTACTAGAACTCAATGCTCTCAGCAGTGACATTTCCCAGTCCTTTGCATTAGTTGATTGGGACTGGACCAGCTGCTGCTGTCTGCTTTGCTTTCCACTAACCTGTTATTCCCCTTCTGATCTTATAAGAGAGGATTCCCCAGACCAATGTGACTGAGAATACGCCCCGCAGGGTTCCTGCAATCACTCCAGGGGGTAGCATGACCTCAGGTGACCCCACATGAACATCCCAAATGAAGATTATCAGGAATAGTTAACCGGATTTAAATAGTTACAGCTTTAAAACTATTAAAGTTACTGTTTGTTCTGTTTAAAGCTGATTTATTGCAAGGGTGACCAGAGTAACACATCTCTCCTCCAACTGGGCTGCTTCTTAAATCTGGGCTTCATGGAGCACTGCTGCCTTTCTGTCTTTAGCTAGCATGTCAACATTTACTCACTCCATTCAGTGTGTTAGGTTTAGCTTTTCTTTTTATTAAAATTAGCTAATATGCTAATGTTTCCTAACAATGCTAATATTAGCATAAAGGATAGCATGTTGACATACAGCCCAAAGCCTGTAACATACTCCATTCAGTATGCAAAAACAAACACAAACAATTATTAAGTAATAAGCCAGTGTTAGCTAAAATGCTCTTAATTGCATATGGGTAATCACTAGCATGTGGACAAATATTTCTCATTTATTATTTTAGCTAATTATAGCAATGCTAACCAACACAGTTGTAAATTTTAGCTAATTTTATCTGAAATCAGGTAACATGCCGTTTCTTAAATATGCCGATGTTAACACAAAGGATATCATGTTGACATGTAGGAACATACCCCACTATGAACACTGCTGTTGTGTTCATAGTGGGTAGATTCAGCACATGCAGTGATGTGTAATGGTTAATGTAAAAATCCTGTTTAAAAGGTGATATTTGTTGGCAGTTATATTCCAAGTGATGCTTTGTATGCTAACAGCAAAGCCTGTTGGATGGAGTAGATAGTCGCACCCTGCACAGATGTGAGAGCCAACGCCGATAAAGGTCACAGATGGTTTTGGAAGCATTGCAATGAAAGAGAAAAACAGGGGTGAGGAAAATGTGTCAACAGCAACTGATTTTGCTGCATATTAATTTGCTGATCACAGTATTTGACGATGACACTGACATTCCATAATCATGTAAAAACGTTGCGTTCTTATTATAGCCGGGACTTTAACATGCTAATTTTGATTCGATTTTAACATAACTATTCACTTTTTTATTTTAATTTTCTGAGTGGAACCTTTGGATTCCAAAGTTTCTGGTATATCAGCAAACGGTGATAGACGACAAAGTCGCTTCTCTTCCCCCACTAGAAGTTAATTTGTGCTTAAAAAAAACGATCTGATTGGACGCTAACAACTATAAACATTTGTAATAAATCTTATAGCTGATATTCGTCTTCAGGGTTTGGACATTCAAAAAGATTGGTGATAAAACTACTGATGAAGTTCTTCAGATCAAACCTGTCAGACATTACTCTCACACCATTTCTCTACATTTGTTGGTTACAATGTTTGAGTTGAGGCTGCATAACAATGATTTAGTCTAAACAAAATAAATTTAAGGTCTCTAATGTAATTTTATAGAACATAACTTACTTAAGCTGATATGAGATACCTGCAGCATGATAAATTATATGGCTTATGCAACTCGCAGTATGATACAAGATATCTATACTTAAGATTGCAGCAATAACTGCAATTGTAACTTTTTCTGTGGATCGAGACTCCAAATTATTAATTTAGATTTTCATCAATATTATTGATGCTCCTATCTTGCAAGTTAGTACACTTGAAATAAAACTATGATATTTGAACTAGAAATTAGACAAAAGTAGACTTTGTGTTTTTGCATTGAGGGAAGATATTTCAGGATCAGCCACTGAACCCAAATCAAGAACAATAAGGAACTGAAAACTCTTTATGGTGGCTTATAAACGCTGATAGTGGCACAAAATGTGACGTCAATAAGAAAAGACAGGAAGCCAGCCATTAAAACGGCAAGAAATCAAACCCAAATCAGGAACCAATGTTGACAAAAAAACCACATGGACCTCTAATTTTTATATATGTATATATATAAATAATTAGAGCCAAATGTTGAAAGCAGTTAAATTAAAAACCACAGCAGAGTGGTTTATCCCCGCAGTCGTTTATCATCAGCCTTGAAGTGGTAGATCAAGGCTGTGAGGGGGAAGAGGAATGGAGTCACTGTTTTTGTTAGATGGATGATAACGACAGAATGATGCTAAAGTTCATAACCTTGATCTGAGTTTATTTACGGTCAGGGCCGGCTCAAGACTTTTCAGGGCCCTCAGCAGATTTCCATTTGGGGGCCCCTCACCAACAACTCAACTCAAAGTGCTTTGTCATCCCTAAGCTACTTTATGTGTGTAACACACCTGCTACCATTAGCATAATTTGTAATTATCTTACCTCATTCCAGTGTTATCATGACTGTTAACCTTACAGGAGGAGCAAACTAAAAGAAAAAAATGGATTTTGAAATGCAGATTGGTATTTAAGTGTGCTATTTTATTTTAACTATTTGAATGTAAAATCAGCTGAAAAACACTGAATTTACAGTAAATAAATGTTGGGAAAATATTTCATATCCCTGGTGGTGTGGAGGCCCTAAGCAGCCTCCTAACTAGCATATGCCTTGGGTTAATTCACTTAGGACATAAACTGTCTGACTCCCATGTCACAACAACAACTTTTTCAATGTTACTTTAACTCAAACTGGAGAATACATCCCAACTCCTCATCAAACCATGATCAGTTCTTCACCCAGAAAAACTTAGACTCTGCAGCCTGAAATCCTCTTAGTATTTGACCCTAATCCAAACAGAGAGGTGATAGGCTTCAAGTTGGACCAAAGTCAGCCAGCCATCAGCGTAAGGACCATGCAAATCAGAAGATAGCAAGTATGCAAGTGTCCACGGACACTAGCTCAGAGTTTGAAGCAGGACACACTAAACACGCCTCTTGTTTCCTGCCACTTGTTTCCTGACTACAGCAGGCCAAAGGGAGAATGGAAAACTGGACAGCAGTGAATACTGGGAAAAGCAAGGTTGCACTTTTTAAAAAGGTATAAAACACTGGGTCAAGATAAAGATTTGTATTATTGGAGAAAATTTAAAAGAACATTTCAAAAACTGTAAAGTTAAGCATAGACACAAGAGGGCTGGCCATGACTCAACATTGAATGAAAGGATCTTGCTGCGTTGTTCTATCATGAAGTAAGAACGCAAATTTACTTTTAAGACACAATGAAACAGCTAAAGTCCGAGGAAATTATAATAAACCAATACTATGAATATAAATTAAAATTCACATGACAAATCATTTAATTAAAGGAACCTGAGGGAGTTTCTGCTAAAGTTTGGTAAAATCCCGCGCGTTTACCGTTAAATCTCGTTCAGATGGAGCCGTTTCGGTGCAGAGGGACCGTGACAACTTTCATGTCCCTCATACGGATCTGATCCTCCGCGTTTCCTCGCGCTGCTGCGGCACAGGACGCACAGATGAAAGGCTGCAACAGAACGCTGTGTTCGCGCCCCGGTGAGCGCACGTGACGTCATCCTGGAGGTGCGTTAAAGTGCTGCTCGTAAGATCCCGTGTCAGGTAGATTTACTGGCGCTTAAAGGCGTGGAAAACGTGCGTTGAAGACAATAAATAAGTAACAAACTTTTGAATATTTCTCGTGGGGATATTGTGAATATGGTCTTATCTACAAAGTTTTTTAAATCGTTTCGTGTGTGTGGATTTGAAGTTTATAAAGTCTGCACAAAGTTTTCAAAGGGGCTGGAAATTTTTCTAACTGTAAATAAACAGCTTTGCTCCTGTGTAAATTCATATTCAATAAGTTTGAAAAACAGTTAATTTATTTCAACAACTCAGTTCACATGATAGAAGATGGATGTTTTCAAGTTTCTGTTAATTATGTCAATTTTCTGCTAACGGCGAATGAAAACATGACATTTAAGATCAAAAATATTAAACAATATCTATCTATCTATCTATCTATCTATCTATCTATCTATCTATCTATCTATCTATCGATCTATCTATCTATCCATCTATCTATCTATCTATCTATCTATCTATCTATCTATCTGTCTATCTGTCTATCTATCTATCTATCTATCTATCTATCTATCTATCTATCTATCTATCTATCTATCTATCTATCTGTGCTTATACATTCTCATTTTTCATATCCTATTTATATTTGGTAGCTGTAAACAAATCATTTTGTAGCTGTGTGTATATGTGTTTATTTTTTGTTGTATCATTTTCAAAAACTATGAAGCTAAACCATCAAAACAGATTTAATTTAAATCAATTTAGTTTTTCTGAAAAACGTTGCTTGTTTGGACCACTTCATTCTTTAAAAAATATTATGATGACCCCATGAAACTATAATAATCAATCATTTATTTGAGTTGCACCAAAATATAGCATAAATAAATAAACATTAAATTCAGCTTAATTAAATTTTTTCTGTGTTGTGTTATTGATAAGAAACTTTAAAAATATGACAGGAAAGTGGAGAGGGTTGGTTGCATAAATGCTGGGCTGGACTCTACAGGTATAACACTGAAGCAAAGTAACAGAGAGAACCGATGACCTCTTCATCGGCTTTGATGAAGTGGCTGCAACTGCTGCCTTGAGAGTCATGAATATTTGAGAAGCAGGTAATGCAAAACTTTTGGGGGGAATTTTGAAGGAGACACTCAATCCTCAGCTGAAACAGTGGCTGCCACAGGGTTTGTAAATCTAATTAGGACATCGGATACTCCCACTTTGGACCGTATCTGATTACTAACACAAGATGACAGCATGTTCAACAGTGGCTGCACATTTTTTGATACCGTTTTAATACCAGGTTTGTGACGTTAAGAAGTTCTGGACACAGCAGAAAAAAGAAACAAAAGCACCACAAAGACATATGCAGTGAAACGGTTCAAATACCAGAACATGCCAACAGGACCAACACGTTGGATCGAGTTACCGTACTCACTGCTTTTATGGACGCTGGCGCCCTC